CCCCAAAACCCCAAAACCCCAAAACCCCAAAACCCCAACAAATTCAAATTCAAAAATAAATCCCAAAAACATGAACAAAATCGTAAAATCCAAAAAATTCCCTCAAAAACCCCAATCCACCAAACCCTCCCGTCCCAAATCCAAACCCCACTCAAAACCCACTCTCAAAAGACCCATCTCTCCAACCCCCCAAAATCTCATCCAAAAACTCGAACATCTATCAAAATCCACGACCAAAACCCTCAAACTCCTCACCTCAGATATAACAAACCTTGACCAGAAGCAGAACCTCCTTGAACGTAAGTGACCTAAGAGTTATGTGAATAGGTAGGGTGGAAATAGTAGTGAGTGGGTGTGAAAGAAGATTTGATAAGATGAGGTAAGGATTTTAGTAAGAAAGTGGACAATTTGGAGAAGATGGTAGATCTTGTGCATGAGTATTTGGAGAATCAGACTGGGAGTGAGAGAAAATCGGAGAAGGAAGATAAAAATCTGGGATTTTAGACCGCCGAGTGGTTTTGGGAAGAATTTAGGTAGGGTTTTGTTGACTGATTGGTAGATTTTAAACATGAGACAGAGACTTGAAGAGTGGAAGATGTTGAGAAATCTTTTAAACTTTTGAAGCAAGATGTAGACATGAAGATGAAAAAAATTGAGGAAACACTAGAGGGTTTTAATCTTGCAGAAAATCATATCAAAGTACTTGCTGATACCAATAAATTTAAAGTAAAGATAGAAGAAAAGGTATGTAAAAGCTCTAAAATACAGCTTAATTCTTGGAAGTCAAAAATTGAGGGAAAAATAGATATCATCTTAAAAAGCGACTACTCCATTTGCCTTGACCAAAAGTACTATTCCCCTAACCCATAGACCTACAACCCCTACAAACCCCCACAATCCCTCCAAAGCTCCAATCTCAAGCAGCTTCAGATCCGACCTCGAAATGCTAAAAATGGTCACCAAAGACAAAACCCCCCCTCTCAAAGACCCCCACACCAAACCCCACACCACCATCGAACAAAACCCAAGCCTCACCTACTCCCCATACCCTCTCTCCAACCGAATTCCACCCCAGACTTCCTCCCAGTACTTAATTACCTCTTCTTCCAACCCATCCCACTACGAAAGCTATGCTCACAATAAATACCTTAGCTCAAGAGATAGAGATAGTCTTAGTCAGGATCACAGAGGGACGTTGGATCTTGATAGGCCGAGTGGACAGGCAATGGGGGAGTTAGGATATGATCTTAGTGAGAGTAGATCAAAAGAATGCCAGAGTAAGGAAGGAGATGTTATTTTGGTGAAGAGTTAGTGAAATTAAGGATTTGGGGTTGCTAGAGACATAGATTCAATTATTGACGATTGTGAGTAGTTTATTTATGGAGCTTGTTCCTGGCTCCTTGCTTTATTTGAAGAATCCTCATCTTTATAATAAAAAGATATCTATGAGCTTTTACTTAAAGTATGTCTACCCCATCCTTTCATACTTCCACAAAACATTTCAAACAATTTATAACTACATCTCTCCTCTTGACCTCCAAATTATTTATTTCTCTAACTTCTTAATATAGGTTTCAGAACAATCAGTTCAAAGTAATAGAAATACTTTTGTTGCAGATTCAAAATGCAGGCATTTGAATCCGAGAAATAAGATCTTTAAATTAAATCTTACTTTAACCAACTATAATTGTTGCGAACCAACAATTTTAAGCTAATCCTTTTATAAATTTCTACTTTTCGAATATAAATCTTATCAGCTCATAGACATGGTGATTACGAAGTAATCAAAGACAAATTTGAAAGGAAGTTTTCATACCAAGTACTCTTATTCTTTATCTATAGCATGAAAACAATGGCCTTAAATCTCAGTATCAGGATTACAAAAAATTTCAGCCTAAAAATTCAAAAAAGAATGAGAAAACAGCTCCTAAATTTGAGTCAAATACCCTTTATTCGAAATACAAAAAGACTCTAAGCTTCACTATCCAGGAGCAGGCTAAGAAGAAGTCTTTCTGTGAAGCCAGCTCAAGAGGAAGTCAGAAAGACCCCAAAATCTTGGATAACAAAGAGAACTTCAAGCCTAATCTGGCTTAAGCTCAATTTCAAATTCAATATTATTGCCGACTTAGGGGTTTTGGGGTTTTGGGGTTTTGGGGTTTTGGGGTTTTGGGG